GAACATTATTTCAACCCTGAAAAACAACAATAAGGTTAAATTAAAAAAAAACTATTGAGCTTAATAAAATTAATAATGTCGAATCCGGTACCGGGAAGGTGCTTTACAGAGACCATTCTTATTTTAGGTAAAAATTGTAAACAAATATGTATATGAACTGGTAATGTTCACGTCACTTTTACGGTGCCGTGGATTTAGTACACAAACTTGCAGAAAAATTTCTTTATACCTATACAAAATGTATTAAATTTTTGTGACCTACTTACCTGATCGCACACGGTCGCTTTAACTTTCAAACCACAAATATACAATTCTTCCAGACATTTTTGGATTAATTCACCGTTAGATATGAAATATGCAACAGGAGTTTTCCAATGTGCATACACGCTCTGTAAATAAAATACTAGCACGTGGTCTCCCAGCTTATTGGAACGACCGAGATATCCAAAATCTTGGAAACCTAGGTAAAAGCCAGAGTTAAATATCTTCAATTGTATTTTTATTCGCAAATTACCTTCAATTAGGTCCTTAGATTTATTATAATCCAAATTTCTTTTAATGGACATTTCGTCAAACGACAATATGCAAATCTTTTGCATTTCATTCATTTGACGTGCTGCCATACGTATGTTCCTAAACACTTCGCTTGAAAATCCGGCATTAAAATCGAACACTTGCATCCATTTTTTAATTGTACTTACTCCTGGCAGTATAACGTTATATTTTTTTAAAGTTTTATAAGCGGCCGGCGATGTGTAATAAACGGACATCGCTATTTGCTTTACACTAACTGGCCACTTTTTTATTTTTTTTTTGCCCATCTGCACCTGTACAAAATCAGGAACTTCCTTCCAACTCCTCTTCATTGCTTCCAATCGTCGCTTTACATAGCATAACTCCTTCGATTTTTGTCGTAATTTTTTATTTGTTTTCCGAAATCGTTCAGCTAACTTCTTAGTTGAATTTGCCAGGTTTTCGAATTCAAAAAGACGCTTGCGTTTTATTTTACTGGGTCGTTCTGTTGGATGTTCATTTTTAATGGGAGAGCAATAAAAGTTTTCTAATTTACTCGAGTTCTTATTTGAGTTTCCATTATCAGGTTCGCATAAATGATTTTTATACAGAATGTTGACGTTCTCGATATTTATCAAACGGCGTTGTTGATGTACCTTGGCCGAGTATGTACGGAGAGGGATATTTAATTTTGGAGTAAAGTCATCGGTCCAAATCCCAGACTGTGGTTGTAAATGTGGTAGATTCGCATCTTCGCAAGACGATTTGGGATTTGGGTGTGTTTTAGATTCAAATATTTCTTTGTACGGTATCGGAACTGCATTATGTATCAATCGGTGTTTCGATTCATTTACAAAGCTATTTCTTGAAAAATGTTCTTCACACAAAAATTTCGATTTTAATTCCCCTGGTTCAAAGTTCAACAGTTCTGGGTTTCCTATAAACACATTAAGTCTTGAATTTTGTAGTTATTTCAGAAATTATAGTATCCCGCCAACTTCAGAGAATCACGGACTTTTTCATAAATGAAGTTTATCATGCAGAAATTAAGCCGTAATTATGCGCCTTTTAGAACCGTTAAAATAACATTTTGTATACTTACCGTGAGAGAAAATTAGTTATTTCAAAACTACACGCGATATCAACTCACGTAGAGCGGCGAATATTTCTTATATAAAAATCGTTTATGAAAAAGTTCGCCACTGCGTGAAGTTGGCCGAGTACAATAATTTTTGAAACAATTAATTTTTTATAAGGGTGGAACATTTTATTTAGACGAATAAAACTTAATTTTTTAAAAATGGCCAATACCATTGAATAAGTAATCATAGGACTTATTCAATGCCAATACGGAATACCAAAAAAACTCCCGCGGTTCCAATAAAAGGAAAGAAAATATATCGTTGTCGGGCGTTTTAGCTCACCTGTGCTTAATTTCCACTTTTCACATCTTTCAGTGTCTTTATATGGGAACGAATACATTTTGACATTTTTATTTTTATATTTGCTGTTTCCACATTTAGCATATACACATTTATTTCCTGACATTGTAATTCAAATCAGTCACAACGAAATAGCATACAGCTGGTTGAAAGATTGAGACTAAACTAGGAATAGAGTTCAAGAGAAATTTATAATTTCGCAAAATAAAAAAAAGTCCGCCTTTAAAATAATAAAAAAGAAGCCGACAAATACTGCCGACAATAAATCTCTAATTCGCGATTATCTTATCTCTTCCATACAGTCAATGTATAGCTTATTGTGTTAATCAAAGACCTACCGTTTTACGTATTCGACAAAGAAGTAAAATTTAAATTCTCAACGTGTGCCTAGTATTATACACAATTTATTCGTCATTGGCGCACTCTGGTGCTTATATCAAAAAACACCATTTTATTTGTCTACATTGATGAGCTGTCTATGGGGGGAGTATTAGTCAATGGTAATACCTATTACCTATACATACAGAGTGGTGTCTAGCGCAACGCAGCATAGGGATTTCAATGGTAATTATGTTAGAGCAAAAGTCTCAATAAGTTTTTTTTAGAGAAAAAAATACTGCATCTGTTCATACTTTTAGTTATAATTTTCCATTTTTCAAAACCGTAGAAATCGACAAAATAAAAATTACATTTTTATAAATCAGTGACTTTGGAATCTTTTAACAAACTACAAGCGCATCGCATCTAAGTTATCGTTGTTTGACGGCGAACGATTTTCATATTTAATTCTGTTACAACTATCCGATGCAAGAAAAAGCGGAAATTGGGTAATGTTTGTTTAGAGAATGTATGCTGCATCTGCATCAGATACTATTTGTTTATCAGAGAGAATCAGAGTACCTACATAATCGAAGAAAAAAAAAACTGATTTGAAGCAGATTTGTTCCTAAACTTATATTCGGATTTTCCGCTACTGCAGCCAAAACGTTGAATGTATTGTCGTTTTCCTGATGGTTTTGACGAACATTTTGAACGTTATTGCACTTGCAGTTCTTTAACTAATTTATAAACAAGTATAAATTTATTATACGTCAAAGGTAAATAATGAAACGTGATCGCTGTTTTTTTAGGTAATTCCAAGGCATATTTGATTTATTGTAAAAATGAACCTTTTTATTTTGTCGATTTCTACGGTTTTGAAAAACGGAAAATTATGAGTAATAGCATGAACAGATTCAGTATTTTTTTCTCTAAAAAAAACTTTAGACTTTTGCTCTAAAATAATTAGGGGAGCTAGTAACTGACTATAAAGAAATTACCATTGAAATCCTTATGCTGCGCCGCGCTAGGCACCACCCGGTATATGCCCAGTGGTGTTCCCATAGGGTATACTCCATATACGGCGTATACTCTCAAGGATTTGTTAGACATACAGTGAATTTGTTTTAAATGCGAACATAGGAGTTTGTTATTTATGCAATGCAATTTCCCTATGTTCGATTTAAAAAAAAACACATCAATCTATTGAGTAGTTCAAATGAGTAGTAGATACAATTGACAGCTGTCACATTTTTAAAAATACCGGCGTCCAATTTAATTACGAAATCGGTTAGGTTATTGCTTAGAATGTCAAGGAGGATACTTCGAACATTTATTGTAATTGTTTTCGTTATTTATTTTCTTATTTTCTTCATTTATGTATTGAATAGATCAAATTAGTAGAATACCAGGTGCACATGACCTACAAATAATTGAAGGTTGGTTCACAATGAATTGTGATGTCAGCGCGTGCCATGTGAAGTCAAGTTATCGATAGTTTAAGAGAAATTTATCCTAAAGTTGCTATGGCCTCACATGGCTTATTTAACAAAATCTTACCGAGTGCTCTTCATCATAAAGACTATGTCATGAGTTGCTGTTCATAGTCACACGAGTTGCGCGTTTTGGGAATGTGAACCCCGCACACTTCATAGATTGATGTATTTTTTTTTTAAATCGAACATAGGGAAATTACATTGCATGTAAACTCCTATGTTCGCATTTAAAAAAAACTCACTGTATAGTGTATAGGCCATATACCGTATACTCTCAATCCATGCGCCACTGGACATGATACGCTGAAACTGCGTTTTGAGTATCAAATTTTTATAAATTTGTTAGGGGATGACCTCCTCCCCCCCTCGCGTTTTAAAGGGAACATCATAACCACCCGCTGAACTGAGTACACTCTCAAAGTACACCACCACTCCAAATCGTTGTACCCCTATCTTTGGGTACAAATAGGTAACCAGGTATACCTACTCACTTTGTCATTACTGATTTGAGATGACAACCAGGTTTCGGTCACTCCAACAATATCGTACTCTGCCGATAAAATATGTTGCTTGAGATCCGAAAAGTGAGCTAAAATAGATCGTGAATTTGAATGGCATCGGTGATAATGAAGTTAGTGAACGTCTTTAAAGTCATTGATTGAGCGAATAACAAAGACTTTCGTATTATCACTTTTGCGCATAAGAAGTTTACCATCACGGGTCCAAAGATATTTAATGTTATCATGTTTTGCAAAGAATCGGGCTTTACCAAATAACACTTTGTTCTCGCCAGTAAAAGACTCGTTAATATAGATTAAACGGTTAGGATTAACGTTGGGGACGCCCGCAAACAGTATTTCACCCAAATCTTGTGCACAGTCAGCACAGTAACGTGTCTTTTTATTAACGATCCTCGAGATCGTTTATAATTTTGTATTGCTGCCTGTCTGTCTGTCTGTCTGTTCGTGTGTATGATAACTTTGCGTAGAAACGTCCGACCGCTTTGCAAATTGATACACATGTTCTTCGGGATATATGAAAGGTCGCTATTGTTTTTCGGCTACATAAACTAACGGGCCAAAAAGTTACCGCCCAAAAACTGCCCAAACCTCCAAAAATAGTTTCTCTTATAACTCTTGTTACAAAGAACATATGAATGTCCGGTTTTCTGTAGTAGGTACATATTTCTTAAACTTACTTCTCATTTTGAGATTACTCTAATATCAAAGAATACCCCAACCAGGTGTTCGCCACTGTCAAACGCCCTTAGAATTCTGTCAGTAAGTCTGACAAGATGGTCAGTCGTTGACCGTCCCCTCCGAAAACCAGTTTGATAAGGTACGTACACATTGTAGTTTTCAAGAAGTGTTTGCAACCGCACATTAACCATTTTCTCAAGCAGTTTGCCCAAGTAAGATGTCAAACTAATAGGGCGATAACTCTGTGCCAGTAGCGGATCTTTTCCTGGTTTCGGTATAGGGACGATGACTGCCTGTTTCCATTCTGAGGGGTAAGTATGTTCATCCCAGCAATTATTAAAGAAATTTAATATTCTTTGTTGCATTTCAGAGGTACAGTGACGAAGCATCTGGTTATGGATACCATCATGGCCTGGTGAGCATGACTTGGTACTACGGAGTGCAGTCTCCAATTCTTCCCGAGTAAAAGGTGAGTTGTAATCTAAATTTTCTTCTGTGTTAAAATTGATATACGCAGATTCTTTTTCAGGTTTAGTGTCCAAAAAGGTGGGAGGATAGTTAGAGGAGCTACTAACCTTGTAGAATTGATCAGCAATAATGTTACTTATTTCTTGCAGATCATTTATAATATTGCCCTCAGCGTTTCGCAGAAACGTCGGGTAAATGAAACTGATTTTACCAGATATAGCTCCCACTTTCCTCCACACTTCACTACTGGTAGTTTCCGGTGTCATTGTGGACACATATCTACTGTTGCCATGAGTTTCTCTGTGCCTCCAGTATTGCTCGGCGATACTGTGATCTTTGTTTCTTAAATTCTATAAGATTATCCAATGGAAATTTTGTATGTAGGCACCTCGAATAAAAGTAAAACTAATGCCGAATCAAGCAATTTGTTATGTGCATGCGCAGTCGGTTTTTTTAAATTTGTTAAGATATTTCAATGAAATGTTGTATGTAGGCACCACTAACTGATACCGATCAAAACATTTTTTTGCGCATGCGCAGTCGTTTTTTTATTTGCTAAGATATGTAGATGAAATTTTGTATGTAGGCACCTCGAATAAAAGTAAAACTAGTGCCGAATCAAAAAAAATTGTTATGCGCATGCAAACTAATGCCGATTCAAAAGTTCGTTTTAGAAGCCATGCTGATCTGGTGGGGCAGAATCAACTCCTTAAGGTGTATTGTAAAAATTATGTACATATGTGTGAAGATTTCGAGGATCGTTCGGTATTCTGTTGCAGTGGATTTTTTTTCTACATTTCATAAACTCGTGTTTATCTAGTTTACTAATAAACCTTAAAATTATTGTAAAAGGTTGGGAAGGCTTGTTAGGATTTATTGCTAACGGAAAGAGAATTTTTACAAGCCATGTTCGCTTTGTTTTATTTATCTATATTAATAAAGACTTTCTTGTTTGTGACAGCTAAAATATTACGTTACTGGGTTACTGCCACAAACTTACCAATCATGATTTTAACTTTACTAAAACCATAAGTGTACGTTACCTTAACAGCATGCATCCTGCGAATGTATTCAGCGCAGTGCTAGCCTTATTGTTAAATTTTGATCACGTGGTTATAAATATATTCATTGACTCTGTCTGTATTTCACAGCATACATATACCAACAAACTAAAGTATATATTTTGATCCCGAGGGAGCATTTTGTTGTGAAAAACGAAACGCCTGAGGGATGGTACACCTTGGAATTGTGGTATATAGGCTTGTTTCACGCAAACAGTTACCTAACAGTATTCAGACTCCCATTAATAATTTAAATCTGAAAATGTATACAAACATAACTTTTCATGATCTATCGAAGGAAAATATGATTTTTTCACTTTTGGTTTTATCGGATATGGATAACTTTCTTATTTTAAATAGAACACCCTATATTTTATTGCATTTTCCAAATCTACATGAAAATCTACGTTGTTTGATACCACATTCCAACATCAAAGGTTTTCAAGTTATTCAAGATTTTTCAAAATTTTACGTTTCACTGCTTTTATTTTAGCGCCATGTACCTATGGCGTTGACTTGAATTTCAAATAGTCTTCCAAGATCAACGACATGATGCTACATGCGAATGATTTAAATTTTCAGCGCTCTTCTACACGGTGTTTTAAAATTAATGGTCATATTCACTTCGAACCTTAAGAAGTTAATTTTTTCAAATGAAACCTGCTTTTTTTGCACTTTCAAATGTCGAAAAATATTACATTCCCCATACCTATCGGTTATGGTTTTAGTTTTATTTAAGATTTTCCAAAATTGTGGCCGTTATATGCATACTTTTCTTAGGAGGCCTTGAAATAAACGCGTTAGTAAATGTAGAATGTAGAAAATCTTAAATGAAACAAAAACCATAACAGATAGGAATAGGGAATGTAATGATTGATCAACGTATAGGATTTTTTACCACACATGTGAAAATGTAAAAAAATAGAGCAGGTTTCATTTGAAAAAATCAACTTTTTAAGGTTTGAAGTTATTAAACTTGATCGTCAATTTTAAAACACCCTGCAGAAGGGCGATCAAAATTTAAATCATTTGCATGTAGCATCACGTCAGTATTGTTTATTTTGGAAGACTTTTTGAAATTCAAGTCCACGGAGCCAAAGCTACAGGGAAATAAAGAAAAGCAGTCAAACGTCAAAAATTTGGAAAATCTTAAATAACTTGAAAACCTTTATCGCTAAGCGTAGGAAAATTGGGTATCAAACGACGTAGACTTTCATGTAGATTTCGAAAATGCAATAAAATATAGGGTATTTTATTTAAAATAAGAAAGTTGCTAACCACATCCGGTAAAACTAGAAGTGAAACGATCATGATAATATTTTCTTCATCAAAAACTATGTTGGTATGCAAATTTTCAGATTTAAATTATTAATTGATGTCTAATAATATTTTTGGGTAACGGTTTGCGCGAAACAGCCTATATATGTGCTACTTTTTGTACTATAGTTAAAATGTTAAAAGTGCACATTGGGAAAAAAAATGATTTGTGTAATTGATCAAGATACTATTTTACGTCACATTATTAAAAAAAATTGCTTCTGAAAAAATGCATAAGGTAATGTGAAAGTACCGAAGACTATAAGCTTAAACTTACCTTATACAATTTCAGTTCATCTAAAATACCTACCTATACTAATATAACATGGAGAAGGCCTTTCATGTTTTAACTTTATTTTTAACTTTATTACAGAAATAAATGTGTCACAAAATCAGTGTGAATTTTATAGATCTACGTTTATACATTATTCACAACATAATAGACTTGAATCATTTTATTTAACACATACACTAAATATATACATAATTTTACATAATGCTTCTAATAAGCTACGGATTACGCACATGACTTCCCATATTAGGTTAGGTTACCAGTGAGTGATGGACAATGATATTTGCCTTTACACGGCATCATTTGTAGGTGAACATCAAAGAAAAAATGTACGAACTGAAAAGAAAATTATCACGCTAAAATGATTTTGTATCTGAAGTTAACAGGTTGAAATTATGTAAATTTATTGCGAATCCTACTTTCGCTGGCGCGTGCGAACTCTGGAGGTCCAAACTATTTGTAAATAAGAAATTTTGACACTATAATGGAGGAAGATCTTGTGCTTATACCGACTTTATTTTGAACTCAATGCAAGCAAAATAATTTCAATCCTTTAAATCATATTTGGTATACAGTCTTGTATAAATGTTTAATAATAATATTTAGCATATATTTGATCACCGCAATTACAACGGTACTTTTCATCTGTAATTTGTCACGAAAATGTTAGGCCACGGAAAAGCAAATCTGGGAATGTTTGAATACTAAAAATGGACGGATGAGAACAAACATTATCAGTGCCAAGTGCTCATACATAATATAAAAAAATGGTATTGTCAGGAAAAGTCCAATTTAAATAACCATGCGCCGCCCATCTAAGAAAAACGTTTCTCCCTTATAAGTTTTTCGTCTATTTTTGATGGATTTTCACTTTCAACTTTTTGAATCGAGTCAAGTGCTAAAAGCCTTATTAAATTTTTCTGAATGTCGCAGATATATAAAGGAAATAAAAACGCCAATTGACTGCATTTAACTTCGAAATCCTATTTCGTATTTCTCCGATTTAATCTTGTTACCTACATTGTGATAATTGAGTAAATAATCTCCGTATGCCGGTTTGTACTCAAAATCGAAATGGACGGAACATTTATTGTAAATCAACGTAGCATTCAAACGGCTTTATTGAATTTTAATCTTAAATACGAATAAGAAATGGAACAGCTGCTGTTTCGTGTCCATGTGATCATCTGCTTTATTGATTGAATAAAAGAATTTTATTACGTAATTGTTATTTTGATGTGATTTAATTGTTACGCGATTAAAATAAACGATGTTATATTTGACCCAATTATTTCAAGACTAATTTTACAATGTCCAACGTTTAGCACATTTATACAATGTTGGGGTGACGTCAATCTGTACTGTCATGTCATACAATAGCTATATATTGAAAGGATTTTCGTTTAATGTGTGCCCAGAATCGTCGAGAGCAATTAGCTCCACGATTTTACTTTACAGCAGCACACACACATTCCCTAAAATTGAAGTATTCTATTTCATTTACCGTGTTTTAACCAAATTCAATTATTATGTTTACATTCAGTTTGTTCGCGTTCAGATAATTACCGAGTTAAAACCGATTATTGTTTGCGTAGCTACGCATACCACTAACTTAGCGGGGTGCGCAATGAATGCTAATACATAGTTACTACTTGAGCAGCAATGAAGCACAACTAGAAACTTTTGAAATCGCTTCGTTTGTAAATAAGTACTTGCAACTAACACTGAAATGGCACATACATTGAATATCTCATATATAGAACACTGAACAAATATGAAATTGGACTTATGTTTGCGTACTTAGCAATTATAAGGTATCTTATATATATTTCTATTACTTTCACAATTGGTGACTAAAATGGGGTCTATTGTTATTGAGCGAAAATATATTTCAAAGATTTGAATAGGTTCATTTACTTATATGATATCACGGTAAAATAAGAAAGCCGGGACAAAACATCTTTCTTTTGTGTGGATGGGTTTTCAAACACGTAAAAAATATACCTATACTTAGAAACAGTGCCGAAAGTGGATAAATTGGTACGCATTACGATAAATGATACTTGCACATTATATTTATTTGTAAGTTTAGTTTTTGCAGTGATCAAATATAATAGTAAGATGGCCGCAGTTACTGTATTCCTTTTCAGCCCCATCTGAGTGGTTGACCCATAGGTCTAAGCATCGCACGTGTTTCTGCACTCACGAAATCCAAATCCGACAAGGAAGATATCGGAGCGGGACCTTTGCTGGCTTGCCTAATAGACGTTCGCTGCTTACCCATCTCGTTGAAGGGTCTTAGACGCGCCAAAAGCGAAAAAGCCCTTTTGTCTTCGGTTTTTTCTGAATCGTTCTGATCGAAGCTCTGTTCTGTAACAAATAAGTGGGATTAGTTTTTGTTATTTATGTTGGAATCGTTTTGGAGTGCCTATGTCCATTTAGCTTAGCTAATTCTAATTCTAAACCGTCAGCTTTATAACAACTTGAAGGGTACCTAATAAAATAATTATTATTCTGTGTGTCAAAGGCTTTCGATTGTGTC